CATTTTTGTTGTCCCAAAAAACTTTGTCACTTTCCTATTAAACCAACAAATTTGTGATTCTTCATATTTCTCTCTCCTCTACACAAATTTCAACCACACAATTTTTACGATTCTTATTTCTCACCTACTTTGCACTTGGCAAAGTCTACCGGGACGGAGGTAGTATATAGTTTTTAACCAATGTAATATTTTGATTATAATATTCAGGCATAATGTATAGACAAAATAGAAATTGGGTGTATGATAAACATGGCGAAAAGAGGGGAATGCGAAACAAATTTCTTAATGGAATTTAGGAATTTGTTAAACTTGCACTTGAACACAAGAATTATATGGATGGTGATAAAATCACATATCCATGTACAAGTGTAAAAATCTCAAATTTAAAGACAGCGACCAAGTTGTGTAGGACTTGTACGAAAAAGGTTTCGTTGACAATTATTATAATTGGACTTGTCATGGCGAACCTTTCGATCCATCACTTTTACCATAAAGAGTAGGTTCGTCTCGTAATGTTCCTACTGAGATGAGTGGGTGGGGAGACTATGATCAAATGACATGGGAGAAAAGAATGTTATATGAGGTATACGGTGCCCCAACGTCTCAGTTTAACCACCCACAAGCATTTAACAATTCTCCTGAAGCCTCGACCTCGTATGAACCAGATGCGGATGAAGATTCGATCTTTTATGAACCTGATGCGGATGAAGATCTGAACTCTCATATTCCTCATATTGAAGGTTCAGGAGAGAGATTTCAAGATGTTTTAAAAGCTGCCGATCAACATCTGTATGCTGATTGTGAGGGATACTCTCAGTTATCCGCCGTTTAAGAGTTGATGAACATTAAAGCTGAATACAGTCTCACTGAAACTTGCATGTCTAGGTTGTTGCAGTCAATAGGAGGAATGCTACCGCGTGACCATAATCTTCCTATTCATATTACAACATGAAGCAATTAATATCTGAGTTGGGGCTTCCTTATATAGAAATTGATGCGTGCCCTTTAGGATGTATGTTGTTCTGGAAGGATGATGAGACACTTGAGAGCTGCAAGTTCTGTGGTGGAGACAGATACAAACATGTTCCTCAAAATTTAATATGTTAATATTATTTCCAAAATCAAACATTTTAAAAAAATTGCCCCCTCATTTAAAACTTGCCAAAAAGTTGAACATGTTACATTTATAAGCAATTAATACAAAAAATGAAAATGAAAATTTCAAATTTTTACAGGTTTTAAATGAAAATTTCAAATTTTTCATTCCCCCGCCCCCCCCAATTTCTAAAAATTAAAAAATCAAATTATAGGCTTTGTCACGGATAAATCAGTGACAAATTTGAACCAGCACAATACTCCGGTAACCCTATTGTCACGGATTTGGGTCGTGACTAATCCGTGACAGAGCTTGTCACGGGTCTCATTCCGTGACAAACAACTTTGTCACGCTCGTTTTGTCATAGACAAAATCCGTGACAAAGTTGCTTCTCATGGAATTTTTAAACTACGCCCCCCTGATTTTTTGTAGTGTACGCCACACCACCACAACTCCTCTCTTCTCGACCGAATCCCGATCATTTTCCTCACAATCCCGTGAAAAAAGAGAAGACCAAGAGTCAAGGATGCTCGTGGCTAGATTTTAAAATCTAATCCTAGTTTGTACGTGTTTCTGGTTTGGTTTGGCCATGGTTGAGCGGTGGTGGGCAGTGATTGACGAGTGAAAGGGGGTGTGGTTGGGAGCTTGTTGGGATGGGGTGGGATAGTGGGAGGGGCAAGGTTGTGCCAATGACTGAGGTTGTGTGGAGACCATGGTGGGTGAGGGTGACGATGGTCATTGGCGGTATGACCATGGTCACCTGCCAGAAGGTGGTGCTCACTCTCTGTGCGGCAATGTGTTTTAGATGTCATTATCTATGACCGTTGTTGTCCTATACATTACAATTGGTAAGTCACTTGTCAAATTTGAATTCAATCCATGAGATATGGGTAGTGATGGACCCGGTTCGGGCCGCCCGGCCCGCTACTGTGCGGGCCCAGAACCGGCCCGGTTCTCGGGTCCGGGTCCGGTTCGGGCACCGAACCGGTGGGGGTGGCGGGTCCGGGCTCAGGGCTTGTTTTTGGTGGCCCGGCCCGGGCCTAACGGTCAAGTTTAAAAAAAAAAAAAAATCTTTTAATTTTAAAACTTCTTTTGGGCTGTTGACCCACTTCCCAAACGGCTATATAGCCGTTGGGTGGGTACCGGGGGGGGTCTGGGGCTTTTGGGGGGTGGGGTTAAAAAATAAAACCTATAAATACTCCTAATTTTAAACATTTTTTCACACCTCTTCTCCAACTCTTCCTAAATCCTACTCTCTACTCTCTACTCATCTCCATATTCATCTTCTCAAATTCTCTTATTCTCCATTATATTTTATTTTACTATTTAATACTTATACAATTATTAAATCTACTTATATATTAATTATCTACTTATAAATACATATACTATATTACTTATATTTCTTATCTACTTAATCTCTACTTATATCTACTTAATACATACATACATACTACATCTACTTAATATATACTTTATATATTAAAGTATTAGGGCTAAAGGGTCAAATACGTACATGAACTAACTTAAAAAGTTCAATTAGCCCCTTATATAGGAGATTCTGCCCGGCCGTCGCCAACTAGAGCGGTTCCCGGTGGAATTTTTTGATGAATTTTTTTTAGCATCGTCTTCATTAAGTCTAGTTTACCCATACCAAATTTCAACTAAAAATTTAACCGAGAAGACAGTCAAATGATTTTTTGAAGATAACTCCGCAGTTAAACAACGCAATACATTTCAGAAAATCATTTGAGTGTCTTCCCGATTTAATTTTTAGCTGAAATTTGATATGAGTAAACTAGACTTAATGAAGAATATGCTCAAAAATATTCATAAAAAAATTCAACCGGGAACCGCCCCAATTGACGACGGCCGGGAAAAACCTCCTATATAAGGGTCTAATTGAACACTTTAAGTTAGTTCATACTTCATATACCTATTTGACCCTTTAGCCAAGTATTAAATATACTTTATAAACTATTAGTATATACTTAATACATAATAATATCTACTTCTCTACTTATATTTCATATATACTTATTTTCTTAATCTCCAATCTCCAATTCTCCATTATACTCTAATATTTATTTCTTATACAATTATTATATCCACTTAATACATACATTCTACATCTACTTAATATATAGTTTATATATTAAAGTATAAAATATAAGTGTATTACTCATCTTATAGTAGTATACTTATATATTATATACTATAAACATTATATTATATATTAGTTACAAGTAATATCACTTAAAATCATTCTATTACTCATTTACTCCCATTAATTACTATACACATTCATACATTTGTCTTATTAGTTACATTTTTTATTAACATTACTTGAATAGTTAATTAGTATTCCCACTAATTGTTACATTTTTCATTATACTAGTTAATTAGTTCATTAGTATTCTTGTTACATTTTGCATTATACTAGTTAATTAGTTAATTAGTATTCTTGTTACATTTTTCATTATACTAGTTAATTAGTTCATTAGTATTCTTGTTACATTTTTCATTATACTAGTTAATTAGTTAATTAGTATTCTTGTTACATTTTTCATTATACTAGTTAATTAGTTCATTAGTATTCCCATTAATTTCTAAAACAACTCTACTTCAAAAAACTAGTTAATTGTCATTATAGTTAAAGTCACATTATAATAGTTTCAATTTATATTTGAACGAAAAAATAGTAGTTCAATCATTTAATTAAAGTACTTAACATTTTATTTAGGTAGTTTTTACTAAATTAAAGTACTTGAAAAGTTGCTATAATTTTAATTTTAGAGTCACACATTAATTCTACTTTGCACTAAATTAGTTTGAAGTATTAATTAAAATAGTTTTAATTAGTTGCATTACTTTTGTATTCATTATTATATTTGTTGCCAATTAATATTTGTTACATTTTTAAGATGGAAGGTGGTAGATATTCGGTTGATTTGGGTAACCTCCAGTGCAATCGAAGGAAAGAGATTGGGAGGAAGAAATCCCGCAAAGGTAAAGAACTTGCCGGCTCTTCATCTCAAAGCCGAGATGATTTTGAAACGGGTTACCAAAGGAGAGATGGAGATGCGATGTCTCAAACGGCTATATAGCCGTTGGGGCTTTGGGTGGGGGGCAAGGAGGTCCCGGGGGTGGTGGTGTGGGGAGTGGGGATCAAAAACATCTATAAATACATCTATTTTCTAACATTTTTCTACACCTCTTCTCCAACTCTTCTCCATCTTCATCTTCTCTTATTATCCTACATTCCTACTTATACATATACCATTTTAAAGATGGAAAGTACATCTTCCCTTGTGCAAAACAATTTTGATAAGTGGAAGGACCCGAAGGGAAAACAATTTTGCAACTGGAAAGTGAGAAAGAGTGTAGCTTGGGGCGTTCACACGGATACGGGATGCTAATAAAACATATGAAGTCCTGTGACAAAGGGAAAACAACAACCAACGGTGGCGGAAATCCCAATTGATATTTATTAGAAAATGTATTTCGTATTGTTATTTTTTTCTCAATTCTCAAATGTAGTTCCTATTTCAAATAAATGCACTTGAACTTTGTTTTTAATAGGAATTTGTATAATCTATAATAATTTTAAAAAAAAAATATGAAACGGCCCGGCCCGGCGGGTGGCCCGACCCGTGACCCGACCGGGTGGCCCGGCCCAGGTCCATCACTAGATATGGGTATCAAGTGCTTGAGAAGTTGGTGTTCTGAAAAGGAGTGATAACGGTTATTTTACCCACCTCGGTGTATCTAATACTTTGTGCTAACAGCTGCATCATCTTTTTCCCTTGCCTAAGTGTCTCTATCTTTTTTCATCATTTTTAATGCAGTCAAAGACTCGCTATTTTTTGTTGAAAATACGAAGAAATAAAGCAAATTGACTCACTAAATTTTCTGTGCTGGAAATCCATGCACCTGACAGTGGTATCAAAGTCAGGTGTGACGCCTTCAATCGTCCAGCAAGGCACTACGGCTCCTGGACCATGTAGCTAGTCACCACATATCCTCGCCTTCTCTCCCTTTCCTAAAGCAACTCTTCCCACTTAATTCACTTTCGCCTCATTCTCCATGTATGGATGGATAAAATGATGCAGTATACGGCCAGACGCGAGCAAGCAAATGGTTGGCGAGGTGGTGAGGTGAAGTTGTTCAAAATTACATTAGAATTCAATCCAACAGATATGGGTCTATCTATTGAGAAGCAGTTGTCCTAGAAAAAAAGTGATACCAGTGAACCCTGATTATTTTTACTCATCTTGGTGTATTTATTGCTTTGTACTAACAATCACATCATTTTCCCCTCAATTAAGTGTCCCTATCTTTTCCCATGGTATCCGATGAGATCAAAGAAACACTATTTTTAGTTTTGAAATATGATTTTAAAAAAAAAGATAATGGATTGCTAAATTGTCCGCGTTCATTTTTTATGGAGTAGTATTTACGATGGAAGTGTGAGCCAGAAATCCATCCACCTTACAATGGTATCGAAGCTAGCCATGATTTCCTCCGTCATCAAGCCAGTCATTGCGGATCCTCACCCATGCAGAGAGTCACTATTATCGTGATACCCAGAGTAAAAACATTCAAGAATTCCAAAATAGGATTGTCAAGTTTTTATTTTTTTTAAATAGGAGTAGTAACATCTAAACTTAGAAAAATGTCATGTTTAAAGTCTAATACTGCCAAAACATGATAATAATTACTTATATTTAGAGAGACTATCTTATTCTTGAATAGACAAATGTTTTTAGTCCTATTTACTATTTAGGACAATTTACCATTGTTGTAGTATTTCCATTTAAACTTATTTGTAAATACTAAACACTATAACGCCACTGTGTTCTTACAAAATTTTATTTCAACCATTCATGTATTTACATTGACAAAGATTAGTTTCTTATAATTGTAGCTATTGAAGTTAATATGAGATGCATCTTTCAGGCACAAAACCAACTTCAATTCTTGAAATTTTAAGATAGGTGAAATAAGGTCGATAAAAAGAGATGCATGATAACACTCACAAGTTACAACTAGGTAGGCCTATCAACGAGTTGGATATGAGCCGGAACTATAAATATCATATCCATATCCGTTGAAAAAAATTTGTCCAAATCCGGACTCATTTACCTTTCAAAGTTTCAAGTCCTAAATATATGTTCCACATTTGAATCCGGCGGGTCTCGGATCCGGGCCAGGTACACCCACAAAAAAAACTAAATGACATGTGCAAACAAATATAATACTAAGTATATAACAAAAAAATGTTCATGTTAGAAGAGATCATATATAAATAAGCAAAATATTGTTTGATTCATTACTCCGTATGAACTATACAATATATTCGGGGTATGTTATATGTATATTAGTGAACTCATAGAGAACTTAGAACACTAACTCATTAGCGAAAATCCCATTATAGTGGGCCAACCACTAAATAAGCCTACAAATATTAAAACTATAATTATATCATCACAGGTCGAGTCCAAAACGGGCCGAAACTTAAAAATCCATATCCGACCATTTTTCTTTATCATGTAATGGGTTCGGATACGAATCTGGGAAACAGTTCTAAATTTAGACGCATACCCTCAAATAAAGTGGCGGTTTCAGATCAGGTCCGGGTCTAGACCCGACCCATTGACAGGCCTACAACTAGGGATGGAGCCAGATCAGTCCGGTCCTAGTTCAGGGCCCCTGATATAAAATAAAATTGGTCAACCTAGAACCGACCTACTATTTTATGTGCTTGGGCCAATGCCGAGTATCCGAGCAATTCGGTTCCGACTCGGACCCATTACATACTTTTGGGTTTTTTAACTGGTTTCAAGCTTAAGAAGGCTGATTTGGGACTGGAACCGCCCGATATGGTCTCCGGGACCGTAAACCGCTCTTGGGCAGATTGGGCCAATCCCAGGCCCAAAGCTGAAAATTCCAGACCCAGTTTGGTCCCACACATTTCCGGACCCAGTTCCGATCGGGCCACCCTTACTCACAACCCCTCTGAGTTCTGATCAGCCCGTCACCAAGATGACAATAAACGCAGGGACATTTATTTAACACTATAAATAACTTTGCTCTAAATAACTTAGCTCTCTTGTTAAAACAATCTCTATGAATAATCTCTAGCTTTAAAACAATGGCAGGTTAATAATCTCTTGTTATGGAAACAATTGTCAGCTCTTTTTCTGGAGGATAAGGGCTCTATCAATATTCTTGTGTACAGGTTGCATCCTCTTAAAGATGAAGGATCTGTTGCTTGCCGGTGGTATCCTATTCATACATACACAAGGCTTTCCTCCTAAGACCTGTAAATGGAGAGCCATCCCTTCACCTGGGAATTCTCACCTTTGGTATAGTGAACTCGGCCCTAGGCTTCATTCTTTTTTTCTTGTGTTCATCGCATGCCCCGAAAGTTAGGCCTTGAGGTGCATGCCACCTAGGACGTGCTTGACCTCCAATAACTCTGGGAGAATTTAACAATGAACCTTAAAACCTGAAGTCTTAATCCTTATTGCTTGGTTACGAGACAACATTTCACTAATATACTTGAGGGAAAACTGTCAAATAGGTCCTCGAACTTTCATAACAAAGTCAATTAAGTCCTTCTATAGGAGGTTCTGTCCGGCCGTCGCGATTTGGGGCTGTTCCCGGTGGAATTTTTTTATGAAATTTTTTGAGCATCTTATTCACCAAGTCTAGTTTACTCATACCAAATTTCAGCTAAAAATTCAATCGGGAGCACATTCAAATTAATTCTTGAAGATAACTGCGCATTTTTGCGTTCTCGAATTAATTTGAATGCGCTCCCGATTAAATTTTTAGCTGAAATTTGGTATGAGTAAACTAGATTTGGTGAATAAAATGCTCAAAAAATTTCATCAAAAAATTCCACCGGGAACTGCCCCAAATCGCGACGGCCGGACAGAACCTCCTATAGAAGGACTTAATTGACCTTTTTATGAAAGTTCGAAGACCTATTTGACAGTTTTCCCAAACTACTATGCTCTTCAGCTGCAACCTACAGCATGGAAGGGCTGAAGATTGGTCTGGCACCAGCGTATACAATCCCCGCATCAACTGCATGATAATTAATAGCGTTTTTGAAATGGAATTAATAAGGAAAGGTATACATACATCTCAAACATCCCACACGCTTCTTCCAAGTGGGATGTGCAGGGTGTTTTTGGTTTAAACTAAAAATGCAAGCACTTCACACGACCATACCTGCAAGTTTAGCTAATGAATACTCTAGTGGCACGTTGGCATCCACTTCCACAGCAGCTTTAGCAGCTGCAATCCCAACTGCTAAACATTGCATGAAATCTAAACCAGCACACCATGATGCGAGGGTCCCACCAACCAAGCAATCACCTGCTCCTGTAAGTCTTGCCACTGATGTTGTAGAAAGTGCCGGATAATACACAGCACACATATTGGACCTTGACTCGGGTTTAAAAGAATTAAAGATATGATTATGGGGGCACTTTGATGTCACTGCTTCAATTAATTCTTTGCTAAAGCATGGAGTTTGGTTTCTTTTCAAATCAACAAGTTTCTTGATGCTGCCCATCATCCCCCTGAAGCATAAAAATGCACCTTTCGATCCAATAGTCACAATCAATACTTTGATGCCTTTGTGCAGTAGGACTGAAATTGCAGGTTTAAGCATTTGAAACATAGTTTCTATTGATAAAGGCGGGCAACCCTTTTTAATTGGATGGAATTTCTCAGCACCAGAGACTGCGTTTCCCATGGCAATAAGTTCATCTTCATTTGGTGATGCAAAAGTAATCTGCAAAATATTATACCCACAAAAAATGGAAGTTGTAATGAGATTGTGAAGCTAACTTCTAGTTCTGTTATCCACACAAATTAAGGAGTACATACATTTCAAATCAAATTCACCCAAAAGAGAAATGTTAAATAATTTGCTCATCTCCTTCATCCCCCACCATGTTGGCATCACCGCATAGTAGTATGATATTTAGTGTTAATTATCTTGATCTGTTTTCACATTATAAGTGCACACAATACGATAGTGACAAAGTTTTACTCCAAGTACCCTTCATGTTGGCTGTCGCAACCTTTTAAATAGGATTAATGAGATGAATATACAAAATCCTCACTATTATAGGTTTATCCACTGGCAAACTAAACACACACTAAGCTGCTTAGGAAGCCTACAAAAAACCTCTTAGTGCAAATTTTAACAAATAAAGAGCGTGCATAAACACTGCACTTTGAGGCAGTCAAACTTATATGCTTCCTCTGTCCCAAAATGATTTGCAGAGTAAACTTTTCTTGATCAAGACAATTTCACTTTATTTACTTAATTAGCATATCAATTTTTTAATATATCACAGGTTGGATTTTGCGACTTAAAAGAACTTTCAATGTAGATTCCGAATATGTAAATTTTAATTCATCATCATCATTTTAATTATTAATAATTAATAATTTTAATTATTAAAACTAATTTAACTGCCTGCATTGATAATTTAACTTTATCGTCAATCAACCTTAAAACCCGCAAATTGCACATATAAATATGGTTTAATGGCACCAAACCCCCTTGGCCCCTTGTGATATAGAAATTCGGCGCATTAGCCCCTGTGATTTAGAAAATGCATTAAACCCCCTTGTGTTATTACTAATCATGCACATAATCCCTTCTATGAACTAATTTACTTGTCAAATAAAAGAAAGATGATTAACATTTTTGTATAATTTAGAGATTTTGACAAATTTACTTGCATATTCAATCATAATATTAAGAAAAATGATTTTTAAATTGTTAAATTTATACACAAATGGGATTCTGTGCATGAATAACTATAACATGGGGGGTCGCATTTTTTATATCACATGAGACTAATGCGCTGAATTTCTATATCACGAGGGAGTTTGGACTTTGGAGCATTAAACCCCATATAAATATGATAAAATGATATATATATATATATATATATAAATCCTGGAGTAGGTTAGACAATAATAAAATGACCAAAAGAAAAAACAATTAGCGTATAAATACATATGCACCCTAAAAACAATTATAGACACAAAGCAAAAGAAAACAATTAGCAAAGCACAAAAAGTATCTTTGATAGATTTTTTGTCTAGATTGTTATTTCACTTAAAAGGCAATGTCGAAGGGCTAAAAATTAATACTGCTCTATCTAAAAAATCACTCTTCATGTATTGCACAATGAAGTACAACAAGAACAATAACAACAACAACAATAATAATAATAATTATTACTCCCTCCGTCCCATTTTACCTGTCATACTTTCCTTTTTGGGTTGTCCCAAAATAAGAGTCTCCTTTCCCTTTTTGAAAAGAAATATGTGGTCTACACCATTTCACTTTATTATACTCAAATCTCAACCACAACTTTTACTTTTTCAACCACTTCATTAATAATCGTGCCAAGTCAAACTAAGACACATAAAATGGGACGGAGGTAGTATTATTATAAGAAAATCAGGAAGGAAACTAAAACGATGCAGGGGTTTTTGGTGCTCACATGATTGACAATGGAAGCAATTCTTCTAGATTTCACAACTGAGACAGGCTCAAACCATACTGGAGTATTACATTCAGCTGCAACTGAGAGGCATAAGTTTGAACTTGCATCTTAATTAACAGAAAGAATTTACTATGCATTTTCCACAATAAACAGTTAGTCAGTTAGAGAGAAAAATAGCAAGTGTTAGTCAGCAAGGAAAGCGTACGTCGACAAGATGCTTCCAGAGCAGAAGAATTCAAGTTTGCATCTAGAAGTAAAACTGGGGCAGACAAAATGTTGGATTTGAAGTTCTGTATCCATGTGGCTGTGAGATGTTTCTCCTGTTTTCATAGTTCCATTATAATTATATGACAGGATAAAACCTTTCACATAATAAGATAATTATTTGTTCAGTAGCAACTTACAACAGCTTCAACGTTAGCAACACCGGCTGCCACTTCTCCTTTACTATCATAAATGTGACAAACTGACGGAGTCTCAATACTATGATGTCTAAGAATACCTAATAGAAATTTCAATGGCATTAAATGAAGGTAATGAACCAATGGATAATCTCATGTTGCATTGACATGATCTCATCTTCTACTCCTTTCTACTAAACTTCATTTCTCAAAGCCTCAGTACCAAAATTACCCTTCTATTCCATCGATGTACACTTCATGTATGTCAGTTTTGGTGTCCATCAACTTCATGTATGTATTTCTTAGTGTTCTAGAAAATCACTCCAATTATATATGGTAATCGGTATATAAACAAAAACAAATGTATAAGTATCGAATAAGAAGATACCCTTACTTTCAAACCATAAAACCTTTCTTTTTTTATGACTGTACTTACTTTATCGTTAATTATTTTCAGAAGTTACGCTTGTTCAAATATGTTATGTAGTATCTTTTATAAAGCAAATAAACAATATGAAGATTTTTAATCCATAGGCTACATGTGTTTTGCATTTTTACTTGCCTGTGGTTTGAGAGTTATTTTTTTTAATGAAACTCGCTAAGTGTAGTCCTTCCCTCAATTTTATACTTCCTGGTTTTTGCTTTTGCGTTCGATAAGTTCCACTTTTTTAATTAGAAAGTCTATCCTTAAAATTATAAGGTTTTGTTCTCGACATTAAACATTTGAGATTTAATCCTTTTTTTGTAGTTAACACTCCGCAACAAGTAGTTTTTTAGTTTCATAAACTAAGACCATTGACTAAAATTTGATTGGAGTTTTAATAATTTCAATAAGTTGAAACTGTTTTCCTTTTGTTCCTCTTTGAGTTGGAAACAAATTTTCTTTTCAAATTAGTATGTTATGTTTAGGTTATTCTTTTATTAATGCATTCAAACTATTACGCCATATGTTTTGTTATCCAAAGTTGTAAGCATCTAATGTTTATTGTCTTTTTAATATAGGATATATTGATCCCACTTAACTATTGCCCCTGGCCTATGACGCCTTTGAATACAAAATCAATAAACAAGTTAGCATACCTATTTGAAATTAAAAATTTATTTCAACATTAGATAGTATAAGACAAGACTAATTACATTAGGCAGCATCATAATAAATGAGCATGATGCATCATGTGTATCAATATGAACTTTAGGCAGCACCACAGCATCAATATTTTTAATTATATATGAAGTGATAAATCAACCCCCCTTACCCAACCGTAGGTAGAGCCTTTGTGGCACTGAGGTAATGATGATGAAGTGATAAATCAACTAACCAGTATATGATGCAATATTTAAGACTATACCTTCTATAGATAATCCTGCCAGTTTCCAGTGTTCCAATAGCAAATTTCCTATTCAAAACAAGAGCAAAGAGGGAATGAAAGAAAATTCAGACATTACTATTATGTCTAATACTACGTATATTAATTGAAATGCCTACTGTAATAAACTAAAAATAAATGCCTTGTCAACACTCGACAGCAAAGTTGAACATGCTACTTTCGTGGGGGTAAATATTTTAAGTATCAAGCGCAAGCAGCTCCTTAGGATCTGGCGCAACTAATCAGTTATGAACGCTTTTACTTTATAATTTATGTTGTCTGATTCGGGTAAAATAGTGCTCACCTGCCATGTCAGATCCTACAGCACTTATTAAGTATGGCTTTGCTCCGAGCTTTGACATGCACTCAGCTATATTCCTTGCCACACCACCCAATGTGTAGACGATCTGCATTGTGAGGTTCAGAGTTATATAAAGTTATAAAGGTTATGTGTACAGCCTGTTTGTAGATTTTAAACAGAAGTACAATATTGAATACTTGAACCAAGAAAGTATGCATCAGATATTATGCCAACTGGTGTTAAACTCTCATCTTTACATAATAGATAAACAAGATAATCCCCTAATTCAGTTAACAATAAGGATCTGTTTGGAATGCTGAAAATATTATGGAATTAAAAAGAGGACAAGTAGAAAGTAATAAAATGTTTGGGAAAATAATCATAAAAATATTTCAAACTTGATGCTTCTTTAATCTCCTATTTAAATATTTGTATTATAAAAAGGTTAGGAAAACCAAGAATATGAAACAATTTAAAAGTTTCAATCAAATTTAAATTTCTTTCATATCTTTCAATGTAAAAACCAAACTTTAAAAAAACTTTTCTTGTGCATTTTTTCCCTTTCCATACCAACTTCAGAGTTCCAATAATAACTTAAGTGTCACTAACAAAGACAAGTTTTGGTTCACATCAATGTTGCTTTATACAGCCACGACAAAATTACTGCTATTTACATTTTAAACCTAAATTATAAAACCAAAACAACGTATTGATAGATAGGATTATTTAAAGAGGTACAACGTTGTAAAAAACAATTATTAATTCCTTAATCTCTCTGATTTTCATCAAAGTGACACTTATTGTTAACCAGTGGGGGTATTAATTTGTCTAGAAAGCTATCTAGCAAGCTAGTAGCACACTAGCACAGTAATGAGATCACATTGTGAACCGGATAGAGTACTTGATTTCCCAAGAAAGCAGACCTAGCAGGCTAGCATAGTAATGAGATCAGAGTGTGTTTGAAGCTTCATCATTCAAGTAGTAATATCGAAGGTACATCGTTTAATTCTAGGGACAAACACTCCAAGATACAAAATATGGCCTCTGTTTCCGAGTGAGATCTATCAGCAGAAGTAAATGTATGAACTTTGCTTCCCATGTGTACCCAACTACAACCAACAAGTTTCTTCACTGCCTTTCCTCTCATCATCTTCATCAACTTTCCCATTTCACTCCACTTCCCATCTGAGGCATATATACTAGCCAATTGCACATATCTCGCCCCACTCTCCCCCTCAATATGCAATAGTGCCTCCTCTGCTGTTTTTGCAAGTTCTGTGTTCCTGTTCATCTTGCAAGCATTCACGAACGCACCCAAAACAGCAGCATCTGGTTTACAGGGAATCTTTTCAACAATTCCCACTGCCTTATCAAGCTGATTACCCCTTCCGTACAAATCAATCATACATGAATAGTGCTCAATATCCGGTGAGATGTTATAGTCTGTTGTCATTGAATTGAAAAACTCTTCCCCTTTTTTTATTAAGCCCATGTGACGGCACATGGAAAGAATAGCAAGGAAGGTCACTGCATCTGGTTGGAAGCCTCTATCCTTCATTTTTCTGAAAAGTAGAAGGGCTTCATTATCATGACCATGGTGAGCATAGCCAGATATCATCGTGTTGTATAAGATGGAATCTTTTCTTTCAAACTGTTGGAATATATTCTCTGCATACAATACGCTTCCACATTTTGAATACATATCAATCAAACTGTTTGCTAGTTTCTCGTCCACCATAACTCCAATTCTTAATAAATATGCATGGGTTTGCTTTCCGGGATCTAAAGCTGCACACACTGCACAAGCACCAAGCAGGTTGACAAGAATTAGAGCATCAGGGACTAGTTTGGCATCCTTCTTCATAAATTCCTTAAAAAGCTGAAAAACTTCAATACATTGCTTAGATCTCAGATAACCAGACATTATAGCGGTCCATACCACAGGATTCTTCTCAGCCGAAGAATCGAAGAGCCGTCTAGCTGCTAACATGTTACCCTCTGTGGAATATCCGACTATCAATGACGTAATGGAAAAAGGATTATTTCCCTCGATAGTATTGTGAACAGACTCAGCATATCTCATATTACTGCACCTGCAATAAACATCAACAATGCCACTACTTATAAATGGATTTGAAACTAACCCTTTCTTTATAACCCAGGCATGAATCTCCTTTCCCAAGTTCAAATTCCTGAGACTAGCACAAGCAATCAAAAGACTAGCGTAACTGTGTTCATTCCATTGAAGGCCCTGCTCTTCTGCCATCAGCTTGAATAATCGGATTGCGTCCTTTTCATATCCATTATGAGCATATCCTGAAATCATTGTATTCCAAGATATAGAATCGTTCAAATCTGGGTTGCTCCAAAACAATTTCTGAGCCGTCTCAAGTTGTCCTTCTCTGAGGCAAGCTGCCACCAGTGCATTCTTTGAGACCGAATCCACGGCATAACAATCACATACACTGAACACTGCACATGCATCTTCAAATGATCCGCATTTCGAATACATATTGATGAGAGAACTAACTGAAAAAAAACTAATGTCATTACTTGTCTTTAACATATACGAATGCAGCTGCTTTCCATAAGACAGAACACCCAATTTTGCTGTCAGACCAAGCATCAATGTTAGACTAAATTCATCTATTCGGGCTTTATCACTCTCATACTGCATTGCACGAAATACGTCAACCGCTTGGTTTTCAAACCCATTGTAGTTTACATAACCAGAAAGCAATGAATTGTACGTTACAGAATCTTTCTGAGGAGCGGCATAAAAAAGTTTATGTGCACCCACAATGTTTTGGGCCTTTACGTGGGTATTTATAATGGCATTCCAGGAGAAGGTGTTTCGTTCTGGCATTTCTTCGAACAGATTATGAGCTTCCCGGGCTAGACCGTGCTCAGAATACAGATGAATAAGTTGGTTAGTTGTAAAAATCGGCATTGTAAAACCAGTTTTTACTGCGTGGGCGTGGGATTTAAGCCCTTCTATCAGCAATCTCATTTAGATAAGCTTAGCATAAACCGGGCATTAAATTTCTGAAGAAGCTACATAAGTAGCATTATTCATTATGTTCGGAAAAACAACTGTCTTTGTGCAAGGTACGTACAACCGAACAAAGAAGAACCGCAGATGAAAGAACTAAGAAGTCAAACCTTGCCAGGAGTGGTTGTCCCTCTATTAGCATCAACCGAAGGACTGCAATTTATATCCAAAACCATGCCGCCTATCACTACCGGCGCCGGCGCAGGCCCATCTCTGCCTTTACCCTCTTCATTCAGACTCTATAAAAACAACGGCGATAAGCTACTAAAGATTCCGAAAGTTCGCTGCAAACGATGAGAACTTTGGAGGAAGATGTACAAAAGCTAAACTTTTAGGTATTCACCTCCATTTGACCGTAACGTGCGATCTACTTGCACAGTGAAGCTTTGAGAATGATCTCCGCAGTAGTAGAAGTAGTAAGCTTTAAGAATGATCTCCTATTTAAATAGAATAGAATAGAACACCAAACAACTTCTCGGTTTGACTTCACACACATTAAGAAGAGTGATTTTACTGTGGAGTATATTGTTTTGCACTGTTCAAACACTGTTTGACATTGTTTGACACTGTTTGGAATTCGTTTGAAGTAGATAATTTGCCAAATGAGAAATGTTTTGAATTGTGAAGTTAATTTCGGGACTAACAAAAAAAGAAAAGTGTGAAGTTTATTGCGGGACGGAGGGAGTAATATATTGTACGGAGTATATAAAAAATATTTTGTATTTGTCTTTATTCTTCGTCTTTAAGATATAAATAAATAATTTAGATATGAGAATACATGTTTAGCATATACGTAGTATCATTTTAACTTTTATATTTTTGATACATGCATTATAACAAAGTTAGTTAATACGATATATTTGTATTTGTTATATTTTGTACTCCCTCTATATGAAAAGATGTTTGGCGATAATAATAGCAAATTACATTTATATTTTTTTCATTATTCATTTGAATAAATTGTGAATTTTACACATTTTTACCACCGACTTATTTAGTTTTCTTTGAATATTCTATGTGATATTATAAATGCTAATCAACTATAAATTTATTTTTTGTGAGAGTTGAATTTCTTTCCTAATGAGCGAAAAGATATTAGATGGTTCTATGTCACATTTTATTATTTGTTTTTCTATTTTTATTTCCCTTTACATTTTATTAAAATAATAAATACAAAAAATGAGAGAACTACTATTTTCACTTTCTAATTCTAAAATATAGAAGTTCATTAAATAGAATAATTAACATATGAAACTGAATCAAATCGAACTAAATTGAACCTAATAATTTTCATTTTGGTAAACCGAACTTCAAACCAAACTGAACCAAAACACAAATGGTTTTAGTTTGGTACAATATCTCCCAAACCGAATAAAATCGAAATTGAACTGAAACCAAAGAAAAACGAACCATAAATCGAATTGCCCACCCTTATGAAAGTTATCATATACGGAGTAAGTCTCTGTAGTATAGCTAAAATGGCCATTCAACCCTTGTCATATACAATCACCCAAGTTATCAAGCAACACTCAAACTCTTTTTTTTGGATAAAATGTAAATGTATAAAATATCAAGAAAAAATAAACAGGCCAGAATTATCTAAGCTAGTCTAAACCAAGCATTCCAGCTCAGCTGGTTGTGAGGTTACCGTACCTAGTGGTAGGTCTCGAGTTCGAAACCCGCTAGGCACATAAGGGTTCGAAACTCAATGGAGTGAGTTTCAATCCTGATTACTCCAGGCTCCCCCCCTCCCCTGACCCCGGTCTGAAGTAAAAAAAAATTATCTGATCGAGCTAGTTTAAATTAACTACAAATAGTAACCCCCTCACCTAATGAAAGGCAGGGAAGAGGTTTTTAGAAGTACAAACCAAACAACCCCGACACAGGATAAAACCCTGGCTCAATATCCAAAACTAATTCTAATCAACCGTTTACACCCCCAACCTAAAGGTCTTGGGTACGAGGAGAGGAATTTTATGGCCCAAAAGTAATTCATCAAAATCAAATCTTGCATGGGACACATCTCCAGCTCAAAAATTCATAACGACAGTCCATAGGTCGTTATAAAACAATTCATACAAAACAATCTGTGAACTAAAAATAACCTCGACCCAAAAGAGCATGTAACAGGCCCAGTTCCGTCGAGAGCCTATATGGTACAACCGGATGTATATACATCCAGCCCAATTAGGAAGACAACCCAATAAGCAGTACAGACCATTTTTTTTTCGGTGGCACTTTTGTAATTTAAGTGAAAAGTCACGGCTTACGCTAAATGAGCAATATTGTAATTTTGGTGAGCATCTAGCCTATTTGATTGAGCATTAAGAGGTTAACAATGAGTATAACAATTTCTGCTTCATATCTTCTATTTTTTTCTTTTTCTATTATTTTCTTTTATAAAAACTAATTAAATTATATCCATTATCTACTCCTATTAATTTAAATATGCGATTCTAATGTAATACAATACTTTTGAAATATGCATTGATATGACATTTAAAAAATGAGCATATCATCAGTATCAAATGAGCATACATAACTTAGAAAGGGCACATTGATATGAAAATCGTAAAGTTTGTTAGTTGAACATCATGACATTTTAATTGAGTATCAAACCTCCACTATTGAGATCAAAGTCACGACTTCTGGAGAATGAGTAATATTGAACCTTTAATGAGCAACCAACCTACTCTGTTGAGTATTAGGAGTCTAATATTCAGAATCGTGATCTCTGCTGCATAATTTGTAATTCACTTTCTTTTTGTTATTTTTTTTCTTAAGGTTTGTTAGTTGAACATCACGACATTTTAATTGAGCATCAAACATCTGCTATTGAGATAAAAATCATAGTTTCTTGTGAATGAGCATTAATGAACTTTTAATGAGCATCGAACCTATTATGTTGAGTATTAAGAGTCTATCATAAAATAATACTTTTAAAAATGCATTGATATGACATTTAGAAAATGAGCATAAGATCAGTATCAGATGAGCATGTGTAACTTACAACATGAGTATTAATGATTTTGTTAGTTGCTTTGCTAGTTGAACATCACAACATTTTCATTCAACATCAAAACTCCTCTTTTTTCGGCGAGCATCAAATCCCCGTTATTGAGTATTAGAATCTGCGTTTGAGTATCATGATTTGTGGTCTCGTGTCTATAATCAACTCTTATATAAATCTAATGTAATATGGGATTTTTGAAATGTGCATTGCTAAAACATTTTAAAAATGAGCATAGCAGAGATACTTAATGAACATACATAATTTACAAAATGAGTATTCAAAAATTCAAAAGCTCATTTGTGTATGTTCATTTTTTAGGCGTTTTACTCATTTGATTTTAAGGTAGAATTCATTTCTAATGTGCTTGGTATAATATAAAAAAGTAATCAACAAATAAACAAACGAAAAGAAGTAAATAAAAAGACTAAACAAAATAAAGTAAAATCAACTAGCTAGGTAAAAGTAAAGAAAAAGTCAAAGCAAAAAGACAAAACTAGATGACGGTTGTGCACAAAGCAAAAAGCAAAAAGAAAAAGTAATCAGAATGGATGGTGGTGCAGAGCTCTTCGGAGTTCCAGGCGTAGCAAAATTTGATCCACAGCAGGAAACGACCGACTCAGCTCTTTCACCGTTCCCTTCTCCTGTTACAACAACGACTGCCAACACTAATATATTACAAAAATACCCGGCTGTACCATGCTCAAGGTACAACCGGTTGTAGGATATAATTTGCCAGTTCCGTCGATCCAACTCTAGCCTGTCTCCCAGCGAGCTAGGGTTAGTAGGAGTTCTATGGGTCAGCCCAGCTTCTCCGTCACAATGCATCGCTTCAAGCAACTCTGCATCCCTTACGCGGTTAACCACGCCAATCGCCATTCCTGGCAAAGTGATAGTATAGAATTGTTATTATTTATGTTTGTAATTTTAACTAGTTTTATTTGTTGTTGTTTGGGAAATTACACACTTTTGGTATAAAACTTTATGTTTCCTATTTTGTTTGTAATTTGTTTAGATTAGCATTATTCTGAGCTTTAACTAGGTAAAGATCATCAAAGGGATCCTTGGAAAGGTGAAGAAAAGTGAAAGGGAACAAGATAAAGACAAAATTTGGGAAAATACTCATTTACCCGGTCAGGTAAAGCATAAACCCGATCGGGTATTGACTTGACCCGAAGATCAAATCTGAGTTGGAGGCAATTTAACGTGCAAGGCGAAGATTTGACAAAGATTTGTCTTTTACCCGATCGAGTAAATCAAAAACCTGGTCGGGTATGATGTGACTAATGAAGATTCTGGGCAATTACTCAGGAAACCCGGTCGGGTATCTCAAAAACCAGGTCTGATAAATGGCTCTAACACCTCCAAACACCTATAAATACACCTGTTTTCCTTCCCTGATCGTGTATTTTTTTAGTGAGGTAAAACGTAGTTGGCTAATCCGAAGAATAACCCGACCACGAGTATCGTCTCTCAAGGAATGGCAAAAAGGAAGTTTAAATACAATCCGTGATCACAGGCTAGCACAAGTCATGATAATCTTTCCAAATAATTTTTTTTGGTGGTTAAAAAAAACTAACAGCGAGTGAAAAAATAAACAGAAAAATAAATAAATTGATTCAAGATATTAAAACAGGGTTCAAATTAGATGGTTCGGGTTCTGGGTGTTCTTTCGGGATTAGAATTAAGTAAATTGATTTTCAATTATTCCTGGAAAGAAAATGAAATAAATTCTCATAGACAAGAATTAAATCAAACTTTCACAATCCTAACTTATTTCAAGATCAGATTGCTTGTATAAGACCCAAGCTAATTTAACTCAAATTCTCATAGACAGGAATTGAATTAAATCCAGACATTCATATATGATGTGATCAAATTCATACAGACAATTAAGAGTAATCTTATACAACTTTTTAGAAAATTAATTGAATTTCAAAAACTAAATTCACGCCCTCAATAACCCATGAACCCTAGCCCCAATTATATGGAATTAGCTACTCATAATTAAAATTAACATCACACAAAGTGTAACCCCATTACAAGAATCAGTTACCTGCTTAGCATGAATTTATCCCAAAACGCTTAGAAAGCAGAGCTCCTTACGGAGTAAGGATTTTCAACACCTGGCCAGTCAAGCAATTATTGATGACGAAGTAGTGAATCATGAGTAAGACCGAATTTAATCAACACAAATCAAACCATCCAACATGCCAACATTCCCAAGAATATACACACCACCCCGATGATTACACCATTACTAATTCTTTTCAAGAATGATGGAGGAGATGGAAGATTACAAAAGAAAATAAAGATTAAGCAGTTACCTCTGTTGCGTTGCTAAACCAGAAAAAAAAACTATGCACCTCAAAATGTTTGAGCGAAACAATTTCATCACCAAATGCCATGTCCAAGCTACAACCAAACCTCCCCACACTTAGGGCTGACATCGTCCTCGAGGTCAAAGAAAAGATTAAAACAAAAATAACAAGGGCAAGCTAAAGAATAAAATGATTTTTAGCCCGACAACACATCATAATCAGAATAATAATCAATACAATTCAACAAAGGAGTAATATGACAGTAAACACACATTCTTAGCAGCATAGTGAAATTTGGCAGAATACCGTACAAGCCAAACGACGGTGAATAACCTCGAGAATAAGGCTGAAATCAGTCTCCTCGATTCATAGATGCCGCTAAATCCTACACACGGTCTGTCTCGTACTGCTACTTGAAGTCCTTCAATCTTGAGTAAGTGTGAATCACTGTCTGGTGCACTGGTGAAGTAAAAACTAGCCCATAGGCACAACTCTGTTCACCGGAACGTGCTCAGGTGCGCTCTGATTCACTGTCTATTCAAACTATGAGCATGAAACTCTGTATCATGAATAAAACGACTTTTCCAGATGGTTTTTAGCCCAAATCTTGCTGGTAGTCTGAAAACAAGCTGCTGGAATTCCTGTGTCTGCACCTGATGTGAGCGTAGGGTATCTAATCGTTTCTTCTCTCTAGTGGCGTGATGCTCCTGGAATTGGTTAAACTCTTCCCAACAACCTTATCCTTCAACATGCATAGGTCTCCAATTACTGGCCTTGGAAGTGTCTGAAGCTAGGTCCAACTCTCATATCACTCACGGACCTTCTGTGAAGTAAACTACGGCTGGTAGCCCTGATGAACTCCATTAACATAGGGCGTTTCTTCCTCAAGACCAGTCAATGATAACCATGCAGCACCTGCAATTCAGAGCAACCAAGAAATCCAACCGCACAACCACAAGATGAAATCACAGAAACAAAGGGGAAAAAATGCATAAACAAGAAATAATAAACTCCTAATTCTATTTTTTTATAGTTTTTTTTAATCATGTGTTGCCTCCCAGAAGCGCTTCTTTAACGTCACTAGCTTGACGATAATATCTGATTCCTAATCTGGCTCAAATGAGCAAGTAAAAGTAGTATTTTCCTGGTCAACGAGATCAACGTGTATTTGAAAATACTTGCTCATTCCGTCAAGGAAACAATATAATAAGCATGGCCTGCCAAACTCTCAACCAACTGATCACCAAAAGGTAAGGGAAAGTGATCCTTCCGAGTGGCCTCATTCAATTTACGATAATCAATTACCATCTGCCACCCGGTCACCATCTACTAGGTAGGAGTTCTCCCTTCTCGTTCTTAACAACCATCATGGCCCCCCTTCTTGGGGACCACATGAGTACGGCTAACCCATTGGCTATCTGAAATTGGATAAATTATGCCCACATCTAGAAGCCTCATGACTCCTGCCTTTACAACTTCTATCATCATGGGGTTTAAACGTCGTTGTGGTTGCACGACTGGTTTATACCCCTCCTCACACTTGATTTTGTGGGTACATAAGGTTGGGCAAATCCCACGAAGATCCTCAAGCTTACGAACAATGACTTGCTCATGACGCTTAAGGACATCCATCAATTTTTCCTTCTGTCCTGACTCTAACTAAGCTGAAATAATGATAGGGCGTTGGCCCTCTGTATCCAAAAACACATACTCCAGGTGACTAGGAAGTGGATTGAGTTCAGGAGTAACCTTATCAGTGGGCTGCTCCTCAAACTCCCTAAGTAACTCAAGGAAAACATCATCCCTAATCACCTGATCAACAGTCATTTCTTCTTCATTTTCAGCCACCATATCCCCCACATAATGAATGTCATTATCTGGTGGGGAAATATAATTATCGCCTCCAAACAAATACTCCTCCACTGACTCAAACATATCAAGATAATGACATGATTCAGCGGGATCTGAGGCCTTACTCATCACTTATGAGAGTTTAAAAGTACACACGTCGTCCCCAACCCTCGGACAAAGTGATCCATCAGCAACATCAACAAGGGTCCGGGCAGTAGCCAGAAAAGGCCCCCCTAAAATAAGTGGAGTCTCAGGATCATCCTCCATGTCCATGACCACAAAATCGACATGGAATATGAACTTGTCCACCCATACTAATACACCCTCTAGAATCCCTTTCGGGTATTTCACCGATCGGTCCGCTAACTGGAGGCTCATACGAGTGGGCTTAAGTTCACCCAAGCTAAGTTTTATGGCCACAGAGGAAGGCATCAGATTGATGCTTGCTCTTAAATCTGCTAAAGCATTATTAAACTTAAAATTTTCAATAGAACAAGGTACTAGAAAACTCCTTGGGTCTTTTAACTTCGGATGCATGGTCTTCAGGACAACTGCTACACATTCTGCATTAAGATCCACGACTTCTGGCTCTTCCCACCTCTTCTTTTTCATGAGGAGGTCCTTTAGAAACTTCGCGTACCTTGGCACTCTGTCAAAGCCTCCATGAATGGCATATTGATATGGAGCTGCTTCAGATGCTCCATAAATCTGATCAAGTTCGTGTTATCGTTGCTTTTCTTCACCCGTGTAGGGAACAGGATGGGTGGAGTCGTCATACTCTTCTCTTTCTTCTGAGAATCTTCTTTCTGAGCTTCATTACTCCTGGATGGAATAGGGGCAGGCACTGGTTCTTCTTCAACCTCTTTAGAATCCGAGCCTTGAGGTTGTTGATCCTCTTTTTGCTGAGGTACTGGCAGAGTATCATCTTCTTTAAGAGTTCTCCCGCTGCGTAGTGTAACGGCCTGCATATGCTCTCTTGGATTGGGTTCTGTTGAACTCGAAAGGCTGTCCGGTTTTCTAGGAGCAACTGAACCAAGCTGGCGAATAAGAGCTTCTAGGTTGCTAATACGTTGGTGTATCTCCGCTTGGTTTTTGGCTAATTCAGACACAGTTTTTCTCTAACGCCGCATTTACGGGAGGTGGTTCAAGCTGTCTTTGACGAGCCTCCTGCTTGCTGAAAGTTTCCTCTCTAAACTTGGTTGTTGAAAAACTGCCCACCACCTCTCTGGCTTTGACCATATTCCATGAGATTCACGTCACGAACCACTGGAGTTCCTTGATTCTGAACATAAAGAGGGCATGTGTGAGTGAGGTGAGCCCACATGCACATCTCGCAAGATAAAGCGAGTTCTTGGCTGGTTGGGTTTGGATAGCTTGCTCGAACAGGAAGTGGGACAGAATACATAGGATAAGAGGGCTTATATTCCCCAATATTATAGACCTGTTGCTGCTGTTAAGAGGTATGCTGTAACACCCCGGCCCCGCAAGACCCGAGGTAGTTACTCCAGACCTCTAGTACTGTCCTCACAAACCACCACGAGCCTTTACCGCACACTTTGTCCTCACTCATGCACGCCCTTAGAAACTTCCCAGGGGGTCACCCATCCCAAGACTACTCCCGTGCAAGCACGCTTAACTTTGAAGTTCTTTTGGGTGATGAGCTCTCTTAAAAGGAGATGCCCCTCTGTTGGTATGAGTAGTACTATTAATCCTTTTGTATTAATCTTGGGTATTACATATGCGCCTTCAAGTCTTTCACGTCCACTGCCAGTCCCTCAATCTTCGCTGTGAGTGCAGTGATGGGATCCAAATTATTTGAAACCAATACTAGTCATTTGAAGCCAAGTTCTCAATTATTTGTTCTTCCTCTCGTGGGGATAATTTCAGAAACATAACCCCCTGAGCTGCCCGGACTAATTATCTCATATACTCCAGTCGAAGCCTGTTATAAAATCTGCACATAATTGTTGCTGCATTCATGAATGTTTCTGGACACTTCCTTATCAGCGTCTTGAGCCTATCCCATGCTTCACTAAAAGATTCAGTCGGAGCTTGAGTGAAATTAAGAATTTCTGTCTGAACCTTGATAGCAGCAGAGGGAGGAAAATACTCCCGCATAAATGTCTAATGAAGCTTCTCTCATGTATCAAAGTGCCCGTTTGGAAAGCTACGGAGCCACCGTGAAGCCTTGTCTCTCAATGAGAACGGGAATAAAGCCAGCCTTACTGCCTCACTGAACACTCCATTATATTTGAACGTAGCACAAGTCTGAATAAAGCTCTCAATATGCTCCATTGGATCTTCATGGGCGTATCCACAAAATGGATTATTGGCAAGCATCTGAATCATGGCTGGCTTTATTTCAAAATTGTTGGCCTCAATGGTGGGTGCACCAATGCTATTTCTCGCCACATAGTTAGGCGTCAATGTCTCAAGAGTTGTCTGATCGGCCATTTTGTTCAAGTCTTCTAGCAATCGCCTTTTAGCCCTTCCTCAAAACAAGCGTTCAGGATTAGAATAACCTTCAATCAGCTCTTGTTCACTCGAGGAGCGAGTGTGCATACACTGGTTCCTGCAGCTTAGTTCACAAGGACCTGACACCAAAAACGACAAACAAATAACACAAAAAATAGAAAGTCTCACTGACTTGCTTTTACCTATTCCACAAAAAGTACTTAACAAACAACCGTGCTACTCCCCGGCAATGGCGCCATTTGATCGGTGTTTTTTTAGTGAGGTAAAACGTAATTGGCTAATCCGAAGAATAACTAGACCACAAGTATCGTCTCTCAAGGAGTGGCAAAAAGGAAGTTTAAATACAATCCGTGATCACAGGCTAGTCCAAGTCATGGTAATCTTTCCAAATAATAATTTTTTTGGGTGGTTAAAAACTAACAGCGAGTGCAAAAATAAATAGAAAAAAAATTAAATTGATTCAAGATAATAAAATAGGGTTCAAATTGGAATAAAGTAAATTCATTTTCAATTATTCCTGGAAAGAAAATGAAATAAATTCTCATAGACAAGAATGAAATCAAATTTTCACAATCCTAACTTATTTCCAAGATCAGATTGCTTGTATAAGACCCAAGCTAATTTAACTCAAATTCTCATAGACAAGAATTGAATTAAATCCAGACATTCATATATGAGGTGATCAAATTCATACAGACAATTAAGAGTAATCTTATACAACTTTCCAGAAAATTAATTGAATTTCAAAAACTAAATTCACACCCTCAAGAACCCATGAACCCTAGCCCCAATTCAAACCGTATATGGAATTAGCTAATCATAATTAAAATTACCATTACACTAATATTGATAAACATGATACGGAGATAGAAAAAAAAAACTGGAATAGAATAATCGTTTGGGAAATTCTGAATTATCAATTACAGAAAACAACTTTGAAATTTAATCCAAAACTGAGAACAAGTAATGTAAAATATATTTAACTTACAATGAATGTTTGGAATCTAAATTAACTTGGAAGAAATTGAAAGAAGTGTGAACTTTAGAAATCCTTCTTGTTGTTGCGGTTGGTCCTCAGGAGGAGGAAAAAATTGTTGGTGCGTGCTTGGAATGAAAGAAAATCGTGCGGCTGCTACTTGCTTTAGAAAAGAAAAAATGTTGGTTGCTTGCTAAGTGAAATGGATGGATAGAAGAACTCTGCTGCGGCTAAGTGAGGAGAAGGAAAAATCATTGCCTGATTGACTGCGAACAGAGAAAAATTCCCCTCCTCTTACGGCTGCTGGTTTAGATTAAAAAACCCAGCTCATACTCTTCTTTTTGGGCTGCTTGAGAAAGATCCAATCTCCTGCAGTTTTTTTCTTTGGGTGTTGCTAAGATGACAATTAGTTAACATTTTGACATTAACTACTACTAGAAACATCAATAAACCGATGGTTAATCATTGATGGTTTCACAAGTAAGTAACTTCGGGTTATTAATGCACGGTCGTGGTTAATAATCTTAAAAGGGATTAATTGTGTTGGTTAAACCAAAACCATTGTGTTGAGGTTATCAATCTCAATTGATTTCATCAGGGAGTTAAGAGATCAAATGCTACTATCAAGTCGGTATATGGCGGTGTTCTATACTTGGTTAATATTAAGGGTTATTATTAATGAACGGTCGTTATTAATAACTACCCTCGATGAATTGGATATACTCTTCGATTAAGTATTCGAGAGGGGATAAGTTATAGATAAAACCGGGATCAACAAACATATCAACAAGTGGAAAGTAGCAAAGTCAAGTCCTTTATTCCATTAATTAATTAAATTCATATAAGTCATTCATCTTAGTATTTAATTAATTAAAATCAAACCATTCCAAAAAAAACCTTTTAATTACTAGTTTCGTAAAAGAAAAATATTTATATCCCCGTGGATACGAACTCTACTTCTCTATACTACGTATTAGTGCAATAGTGCTAGTATTGAATTTATTTTGAGGCACACAATGACTTTAGTGCCGTCACGAAGCTCCGGCGATGCCAGAAGACCATCCATGATTCCTTGCGAATGAAAGAACCCAGAAAACACCAATACCACAACCGTGTACCCCCGGCAGCAGCCAACCGATGAAACCCCGATAACCCAAACAATCCAGTGAGACCGCCTCTCATCTTCATCAGTCCCTCAGTGGATCCCTGGAGGCCTATAACAGCACCGGGCACTACGAGGGAGCATACCAGCACTAGACCTGCACAAAAGCGGGTTCGGGCCGGGCTCGGGCCGGGCTTTTTATAAGTTTTCTGCCCATCGTGTGTGGGCGGGCCTGGCCCGGCCCGCAAAAACAGGCCTAACCCCATGTCCATACCCGCCCGTAAGAGCGGGCCGGGTAGTCCACCGGGCCGCCGGGCCCGGGAAGACTTTAAATTTTTCAAAATTATATAATTTATTTAATACTTTATAAATAATATTACAACATTAAAAAAATTGCTAATACGCTTATAATGTATATAGGCCTTTCATCACATACACAAAAAATATTCACACAAAAATAATAATGAGAAACTATGTCTAAAATTTAAAAGTCATGCATGCACAAAGTATTATCGTTAAGTACAAAAATAGATATTATATTGGTTAAACTATTTGTTAAGAACTAAAAACTTGAATTTAAACATAATAAACTATAAATATGTATACAGATAAATTAGTAAATATAAAAATATACATATGTACATGTAAATAAATACATAAACTAGTATATATAAAAATATATATGTATAAATACTAAATGTAGCGGGCCGGGCTTATCGGCCCGAACGGGCCTACACCCAAACCCAAGCCCGCCCATATGTTGTTGCGGGCCGGGCACGGGCCGGGCCGGTGGGTAAATATATATGCCCAAGCCCGCTAATTTGTGCGGGCGGGCTGGGCGGGCCGGCCCGGTTTTGTACAGGTCCAGCACCTATAGAATCCATATGCATCCAGTCCATTCTGGCACTTTACCATGAACGACGGTGATTGCGAGCGTCGGGAGCTTTCGCCTTGGACGAGTGCTGGCAGTGAGGAATGAGGACGGCAACCTGCTGGTAGAGCTTCAGTCTGGTCCTTGATTCGGCCATCCGCATCACCATGGCTACTCACCTATGGGTCAACCAAGCCAAGGCTCAATCAAGGCTTCCACCATGGCTAGTCTGAGAACCCTCAAACGCAAATCCAATTGCTATGAAAAATGGGAGAAACCTCTCGAAAGCCATTTGTATGGGGTTGTCGTTTTGCTCACAAACCAAGAAAAATGAGGAGAGAAGACCTTTTGGAAACTTTAATTAGACTTACCTTTGAACTTGGGTATTAGATTTTCCCAGTTGAACCCCTTGACTTCCCATTTCCTCCTTCCAATAACATCACTTTCCGATGAGCTTCTCTGGCCAACGGAGAACAAAAATCTTCCATAAACACTTGGCTTCATCCCTGCTTGTAGACCATCCCCTGTCACCGGTCTCTGCCTTATGCACCACCGTTCACCATCTTTAGGGACCACCCAACCCTTCTGCACAGCTACTAGCTAGATTCAACGGACCTGGATCCTTCAAACAGATCTCCAAGTTGTAGACTTAACCATAGAAATTCCAAAAATAGATGGGTAAGCCCATATAATGAATTCGTAATGAAACATCAACCAACCCACCGGCCCACCAGAGCCTGGAGTGAAGACTAGTCCTACATGAGGTAATAAATGGCCAGTAGATGGGTCATTTAGCTCAGATCGGGGACCCCATCTCAAAGAGGATAACGACTAAAGATGAGGAGTTTGGGAGCACTGAGGTAGTGTCGAGGAGCAAAAACGAAGGCGAATCTGAGAATCTTAGGAAATAGAGAATCCAATTGGGATAACATGGTTCTGGATAGACCAAAAAATGGGGAGGATGTGGGCTCCGACTCTTAGGCCCGCTGAAGCATCTGAGACAGAAGGAGGGTTCGAGTATGTGGATGATGGTGGTGCTCTACAAGACGGGGAAAGAGTTTTATTTCTTTGTGTTTCTGTTTTTAAATTATTTGGAGTTTACTATTTACTTTCGGTTTTGTGTTTTATTCTATTGTAAGGCTGTGGATTTGGGTGACAGGAGATCTGCTTTAATCGTCTTTGACTCATTTGCGTCCGATAATGAATCAATGAGTTACATAGCTTCTTTAGAGGTGATAAACTCTGAGTCTGGTTCGAGGGTCCGCGGTTGCCAGTGATCTTTTTTTCATTTTACCCATTATTTGAATGATGTGATATCAATTTAAGCATATTTATTCCACACACAAAAATATTGCACATATAATCAGTTCAAGCTTATTTTAGCATTAATACAAACATAATAAGCATCATCTATATGAATTAGCAATACAATATTATTCTAACAATCTTATGCATATTATTGTAGTATTAACAAAACTCTTTGTGACTCAAGAGCACTCTCCTTACTAGACAAAAATTACAATTTAAAAACTACTCTGTAATTGTTATTCCGATTAGAGGGTTAAACAAGACAGAAGTTATTTAAAAAGTATTGGTGGATGTGCACCTTTTAAAATCTTTATCTTCAAATAATTTGATGAAATGATGTGTATATATATATTATTTTCAAATAATTTTGCTTTGATTTGCCCTTTCGTACGCTTTAATGCATCAATACTTTTCTAAAGCACTTGAATTATAAAATCAATTTTTTTCATTGTCTAAACTTAGAATGTACTCCGTAATATATTTTAATGTCATCGTGTATGTATTAATAGAATTTTTTGAATAAAAAATAGCCACATAGCCCAGACAAGTGAAGAATAGCGCAGCGCTACACTAGCGAAAAAAATTCGCCTCCCTGATGAAAAATATTTCACCCTCAGCTCCTTGAGTCAAAATCTTGAATCCGTCCCTAACGGGTGGCGACAATCCAACAAGGCACACAGATACTCTCATCTTTGGCTAATTCCCGGTAAATATCGATGAGAACAAATTAAATATCTAAGACAAGCCTCCCCAGCGACGGAGGGAACCTTAGCTTGCGCCGGCGGGATCTCATCTGTGAAGAGCCTCCCTCTCCTGCGTTGACGATAACATAAGGATATCGATGGATTGTGTTTTTAATCTTTGTGAAGGAGATGAATTTTCATTTTTAGGATAATGAAGAAACGAAAGGTGATGAAGAAGATGTAAAGTTCAAAGAGCAAGACGGCAGTCGGAAATTGATCGAGGTGATAAAAAAAGAACAATAATTAATGAGATGAAAGGCCCCGAAAAAACCAAATGGATGATTTTATGTGCCACCTAAACAAGGGAATGTGAATGTTTATGGCCACGTATGTTTGGTTTACCTGAAACCGGATGGTAACCAGCAGAAAGGAAGAATTAGGTTTTTTTGAAAGTTGTAGTTTGAATGTTGTAGTTCTAAGACTTTAAATGGTATTTGTCACAATTTATCACAATTTCAAAAAAGTAGTAATCTAAATGAACCCGATAAGGCGATAACCAAACAAACCCCACCTGCCCAATTCGAATTTCTTCAACTCGAAAGGTCTGACCGTTTTCTGACAGGGTAGGGTTAAAATTTTCAACCCGTTAACCGAACTGGTTTAGCAAATTTCAACCCGTCCTAACCGAACCCGTCCGACGATTTCCCAGCCCCTACACGGTGTGCCTCCCTTGCACGCACGTCGTGCTCTGTCTTCAGTGAGTTCTTCAACTTTTAACCTTTCGTGTACGGTGTGAGCGTCCTCGTCCTTAGCCAACATGCTACTGCCAAGCACGCACGACGTGCGTGATTCCCAGTTCTCACACACGACATGCGTGACAATTAATACCATTTTCTTCAACTTTCTTGCTCTTTGAGTCCTCGTTTTCTCTCGTGATCGATCATTGAGCTCTTTTGACTTCAAAAATTCATCCTTAATGCCTCGTAAACCTTCAATGCCTCTCAAATGTGTCTTGACTCATCCCGATTACTTCTCTAATGTGCCAGACTTGATTCCCTGATTTTTATTCTAAAATACTCAATACAAACTAAAACCTGATAATCTATGACTTGAACTAATTAAGTTTTTTGTGACACATTTAAGTTAGAAAAATTGACAAAAATCAATCTCAACAAACATCATATACCTGTTGAAATGTGAATTTATAAAGGATACGTCAGTATGTCACAATACAGCGGCTTTATAGAGCCAAAAAGTAGCACAATAAGGGGCTGCCGATTAGCTATTCTAATCAAGACACACAGCAGAGAATGGTTGCCTTCCTTGATTTGCTTTAATCTATTCGATTTATTTAATTTTTACAACCCTAATCATTGTCTAAAATACTATAGTTCAACCCAATAATATATAGTAAGTCTCAAAAGTCTGTCATTATGATAAGGTTTGGATTACATCTTGAAAAGTCAATTATATTAGAGAATTAGCACAAAATCTTGTTTACTGGTTTGTCATTTCATTTGAACTTATACTATTCTCACCACCATACTTTTTGGAAGTCATATCATTGATATTATTTTCAATTTTGAAGTTTCCACGCATAGAGTTGGTCGAAGTATTCAATTCAACCTTATTGCGACTTGCGAGTGTGAAGTGTGAACCGCATCATGATGGGCAACACATACTGAACTTGATAGCAGCTAGCATCTCCTGCCAAATCATTAGGGAGTATTATATTTCTAATAGAGAGCCTTCAAAAATGTACGTCTTGGTAGGTCTTGAAACGCAAGTACTTAGTAGTATACTAATCTATACTAGTATTTGTTAAATACACAGCCAGTTTGGTAACACTAAAATTGACTTAATTGGCTGATTCTGCTGAAATTTATGAAGTTTTGCCTGAAGTGGTTGTATTGGCTGATTTTGCTGATTCATGAAGAATTAAAATATTTGTTATTAATAAATTAAATAAAAAATAGCTAAAATGATCATGTACAGTAACTTCAGCCAATACAGTCATAAAAGTTACTTCAACCTTACTTTTTCTGTTTATTTCAAAATTCAGCGCGCAAAATCAAAAGTTACGTGTTTGGTGAAAAAGCTGACTGATAAGCCTCATAAACCGGAAAAAAGGGTCACCAAACGGGCTCACAATGGCCATGATTGTACAATTTTTATGATTGTAAATATTTTTTGGCCATGATTATACTTTATTAAAGTATACCGTAATCTTTTTTGTACTAATTCGATCTATACTATCTGAAAAGAAGTACTGAACCATTATAGCAAAAAGGGCAGTTCTATAATACGAGTAAGTGAAAGGGAATTTTAAGCACTCAACCTCTTATTACAATGTTTAAATTTAAAGTTCTCAAATTAAATAGAAATATACATTTGAAAACGCTACTGTTAAGTTTTAAAATGAAAAATCAGAAATAACATTCTCCATCCTGCCGATCTCCCTAGCGGTTCTGCTGGCTGCTGCTTAGGGTTTTTTCCTCCCTAGTGGTTCTGCCGCGTAGAGTTTTTCCTCCCTAATAGCTCTGTCGTCGCGTAGAGTTTTCTTCCACCAATTGTTTGTGCGGCTCTTCTTCTCTAGGCTTCTAGAGTGTTTCTGGATTTTAGATTATTAATTCTGGCTTTGGTATCTAGGCAACTTTCAGATTATCCATTGGATCTCGAAGCAGTGACAAAATTTTATCTTTATTTTTTGATCTCTTTACTCGGCTTGTGCAAGTCAATCTTGAAGTAGGAGTGAGTGCAACATCAACTTTTGGAAACAAATCCAAGGTTCAACAAAGGATAATTATGACTCCTATGGATGATCTAGAGTAGCGTTGGCTCAGTCCTGCAATTGAGGAGGAAGTTGGACGGTTAGTTTTGGCAAATCAGCATGGGTATGTAGAGGGAGGTGTTGGTAGTGGAGGCGGCTCGAGCGACGAGAAGATGGAGAGAGGCGAAGGGCTGGGCAACGGAGATGACAGATCGGCGGTCCGTCCCCCTCCTGAACCGCCGCCTTGGAGCGATCGAGTTGCTTGGGTTTGGAAGTTTTATCAGTCATTTAATTTTTCATGGTTTTATTTTTGTGTTATGTTTTATGTTGCTCTGTTTTGTGGTGATGTCTTTAGTTTTAAGTCTACAACAATGATTCACAATTCTGCTAGATATTATGTCGATGGAAGGATCTTTATGGCCAATGAATGCTGTGTCAGACCCATTTGGTGGTTAACGATTCGTGTTGTTCTTTCAGGTGTGATCGTCTCTGAGTCTAGCCGTAGGGTTGATTAGGGATAATGCTTGTCAGTGTTAGTCTTGTTGGTTAGGGATAATTGTTGTCAGTGTTAGTCTTGTTGAATTTGTTGTAACGATCCGAATCCTTATGATATTAATATAAAACGGCTTGTTTTGATGATTAAATGGGATAGAGTTTTTTTTTACAATGAGCAGTACTTTTTTTGCTTCAACTTCTTTTAACATTCTGTGGAGTGTGGGGATACCATGGGGATACCACACGAGTTGCAAGGCACACTCAATTAGACCTCCCACTGGGGGTTCCAATCTTCTGGTCAACGGTTATTATTTTGTTGACAAACTTTGCCAATTATAGGCACCATTCATTTTCATATATGCTCGCGCACCTACCTTTCTTGACTCTTGGGCACATACAAGAATACAACCTACCACCCTCCCTTTTTTTGGCTTCCTCAAATGGCAAATTGTTTGATTTGGACTTTGAAACAAAAAAGAAGAAGATGAAAACAAGGATTCTATATCAAAATTGTTTTTAATTGGACTTAGTTTTGCTTGATGTACACATTTCATACACATTTTGTGTACACTCCTAGTTGTATGTTTGTGAGGCATCTTCTGAACAAATTACACACAAGTAGAGGGTGTATGTGTACAAAATATGTGTACCAACATCATTTTTATGACATTTTCTAGTCTATTCTGATCTGAATGAATTTTATCTAACCTAATAACTCAGGTTTAATCTATTCTGGTTTGGAATTGAAACCAATTTTAATATCAAGTAGTATCGTTTTCCAAAGTTTTAATTCATTGTACAAATTTTGAACTTCCAAAATTAATATACTAGGTCCGTGATTCCAAAGCACCATCGCTCTCTCTTTTATACTGTATTTGTTTTGACATTGTCAATTGCCAGCATTTGTTGCTGCCCTTATCTAACAACGCATACGCAGTGTCAATTATCTTAGTTTATCTGAGCATCTTTTCAGCAAATTATTGATAAAGGAAACCTTTAGCCGACTTCTGTGTTATTCGATTTGATTCCATCTAATTTTGGTGTTTCTACTTTCTACTTTGGTGTTCTCTTTGTTTTAGGATGTTTTCTTTTTCAGTCCCAGACCAGACCAGACTTAAATAGACCAGACCAGACCAGACCAGACCAGACTTAAACAGACCAGACCAGACCAGACTTAAACAGACCAGACCAGACCAGACCAGACTTCCGTAGTTATAAAATACACAGAGACCAGACGTTTACCAGACTAGACCAGACCAGTTCAGACCAGACCAGACCAGACTTAAACAAAGCAGATCAGACCAGAGCAGACTTAAACAGACCAGACCAGACCAGCAAATTTCAGTCCAAAAGAAAACATCCTTAGTTCGGTATGTTCCTCGCCTCTGCGGGTTTATCGGACATGACTTTATTTATACGTAGTAACAAATAGTGATAACTGATAAGTGCTTCATATTTGGTTTGGTCATCTATTTAATTAGGTGAGCAAAATTGATACTACTAATATCTACTTTTATTTTAAAGGAAAAACTTGAATTAGGAGTAAAAATGATGTCACTTTTCAAAATGAAAAGTAGTACGACGAAGCATATGTTAACCTCTTAGTATGCATTCAAATTTATCCATAACTATGATGTGAGCTCCTATGAAACATTGAAGAATTGATGAAAAAAAATGAGGACATGGTGTAGACGAAGACTCATCACATCGAAAAAAAAATGATGGCATGCTCCTATATTAAGATCATGAATTACTTAGTCTATCAGATTAACCTTTTATAATGGAATCTCATATCTTAACAAAATGTTTTTTGTTGAATAGAGTAACTTGTTGCAATCTTCAAATTTTATTGTCATAGTTTTCACCATCAAGCTTTAATATGGAAATGTAGTGCTATATTAATTTAACATTATTTTCATATAAATTCTTCGAATTTAGGGAAATAAAAATATACAGAGTAGTACCCTTTTGTTGGAAATCAACATTGATTTTATTTATATTTAGGGCAAATTCTTTTTGTATTATAGGAATAGTTATTATTGAAAAAGTTTAACTAATACGGAGTAACGAATAACAAAGAGATCAATTTGCTAATACAAAAACTTACAGCCACTTAGCAATGACTAAAGGACCGCCCTTTTCCGTCTACCTATATATCTATATAAACATGCACAACTCATGAGTATAGACTTGTCTCATGAGCTCTCCCACCTTAATCTAGTGGATTAGCTTATTAGATTTAAGTTCAGATTACATTTTCCTTCCAAGCTGCTCTTCCTGGATTATCACTCAACTAATTGAGTGTTAATTGCAGGGCATGACTAACGGAAAAGAAGAAAGCAATATGGTTTCCGGCCACATTCCGGCATTTGATCCGGCCAAGAAGCCCCCTAGAAACAAATATGCCCTGGCTTGTTCGTTTTTAGCTTCATTGGCTTCCATCTTGCTTGGTTATGGTAGTAATCTATATTCTCTCCCTATATTGCACGGAAACGTTAACCGAGAATTTGAAACGTCATTTTTTACTAAAAAATCAACCGTTTCTTTCGAAAGTTTTCAAAGAATTTACGTATAGTTTGAGAATCAATTTTTCATAAGCTAGTATACCGTAACTTCTAAATAACTCCTTTTAGGAGCAATTTGGGCAACCAAAAGTATTTTTACACTTTCACTCAAACATTCCGATATCTGATTCTGCTCTTTGAAGAAGGAGAGTCAGTTTTAGGAAATAAATCCATACCCCCATAATCTTTATCCAAAGTTTCCTTGCTTCATAGTCCTCTTTACATTTTCATCTTCTTATTATCTTGAGTTATATTTGAATTCCATTGGTTCTTTAATTTATGTGCTTAAATAGATATTGGTGTGATGAGTGGAGCCATTATATACATCAAAGAAGACCTTAAAATAACGGACGTCCAAGTAGAAGTCTTGGCGGGGATTCTGAACGTGTACTCTCTATTTGGATCTGCGGCGGCCGGCCGGACCTCCGACTGGATTGGCCGGCGGTATACGATGGTGGTTGCGTCGGTGATCTTCTTTGCGGGAGCCATCTTAATGGGTTTTGCCCCAAATTATGCTTTCCTGATGGTGGGGCGATTTGTAGCCGGCGTCGGAGTGGGGTACGCCCTCATGATTGCACCGGTTTACACAGCCGAGGTTTCGCCGGCGTCCTCCCGTGGCTTCCTCACTTCTTTCCCTGAAGTTTTCATCAACGCCGGTACGTGCTGTTACTCAAATTTTACACACGGTGACAACTCCGGTACCCGTTTAAAAAATGGGGTACCGTACCTACCATGCATTTGATTGGTCCAAATCATTAAATCCCTTTTAATTTAGATTTAAATAATTCAACTGCATGATTCTGATTGGTCCATGTGGACAAAGGTACGGTACCTTATGGGTACCATAGAATCTACCTTTACACATTTAGATACTGTTTGAATGGTTTGATGAATGCGAAATTGGTGGAATCGGATCAATCTACTAAAACGGTCGAAATTAGAGGAGAAACAAGATTTGAAAAAATATGGAAAATTATGAAATAAAGACATGAAAAAATGGGGAAAAAGCTAAAATTTGCCCAGTTTACCAACTTTAGCCAATTATTGAGAAAAAGAAATTTCAATTTACGTATTTTAATTATTACGCAATTCAACGTTAATACTTCACTTTCATAAATACTTCACTAATGAGAGTGAAGCAAAATAGTAGAACTTACCAGATGGGGTTAATATAATTAGATGATTTGACAAGCTACGCACAACTTCTTCTTTTTATGGGATACTTTTATTATAAGTCACATTTTATATATACATTTCCATGTTTGAAAACCTTACCCAACACTTTATTTTGTCATTTCCTATTTTTTCACTTTTTCTTCTCTTTTCTAATTTTTTTGACTTTTTACTTCCATCTTTCCTCCTTTTTCTATTCTTTTTCCTTTACACCTTTTATACTATTGTCATTATATCAGAGAGTAAAAAAATCTAAGGTGACATGTTAAAACCAGAACTATCATTCTTGTTCTATATAGAACAATTAAAATATAACTGTCAAAAAATATACTCCCTCCATCCCGTTGGAATGTTCCCGTTCGGTTTACGATGCTTGACTGACGATAAAGCAATTCGATCCCTGTTCACACTCCGCTTATTTTTAATAAATAAAATTTACATATTCAAAAACTATATTAAAACCGCTACAAAGCCTGATTAAGAAAGGTTCAATTTGATAAAAATTTGATATACAAAGTAAAAGATTAGGAGTGACCTAAGTTGACAAATGAATAGTGAACGGGAACATTCCAACGGGACGGAGGGAGTATTTAAATACAATTTTCATAAATAATAAAATGATGATATGAATCGATAGTCACTCACGTTTTAGACTTTTAGTTGAGTGAAGTATGCTAAAATTGACCTTATTAATTTTATCGACTCTTACCTCGATTCGTCCGCACGTGGATTGACAACATCACTTGTCACTTTCCAAGAACAACTAAATATGGGCATTAATTTCGTTGATCCATTAATAAAGTCTACTTTGGCGGGTGATGGGCCATTATATCATGTCCAAAGTCAAGCTACATAAACTAGGATTTTGGGTCCCGACAAATGCATCGACGAAAAAAATACTTTCAAATTGGGAATAGAAAAAGGCGTGTATGAGAATATTATAATAAAAAACCATCAATTGTGATCGTTGTTATATTATTTTTGACATTTTTTCAAATTACTACGAACAGAAAAAGAGTAATATATGATTATTATTTCACAAACAATGTTAAATTAATGATACGGGTTTCCATAGTTATATTTCGGAGGTCTATTTCTTGGGGTTTCTTTGTTCTTAAGGTTAGGGAATAATAAGGGAGAACCTATTTCTTTTAGTAAATCATCTCTTGTTAATTTTTAATCAAATCACACAACTAAATATAGTTGTTAACTTCATTTGAATTTCAACAATTAGAATATAAAAAATAGAAATAAATGTCACATGTCTCTTCTCCTCCCTCAAAAATCATAATTTAGTCATCCAATATTTCTATGCAGTACTGCGTATTATACTCCCTTTGTCCCTCAATACTTTGTCATGTTTGACTGTCACGAGAAATAATAAAGTAAAAACTGTGTGATTGA